GAGATGATATCTCATTGTAGTTTTGATCTGCATTTCTCTAATGGCTAACGATTGTGAGCATTTCTTCATGTGTCTGTTTAGCTGCCTGAATATCTTCTTTGGCGAAGTGACTGTTCATATCCTTTGCCCATTTTTTAATTGGGTTATTTGTCTTTTTGTTGTTGAGGTTTTGCAGTATCTTGTAGATTTTAGAGATTAGATGTTGATTGGATTTGTTGTAGCCAAAATTTTTTTCCCCGTCTGTAGGTTGTCTTTTGACTCTTTTGGTGAAGTCTTTCGATGAGCATAAGTGTTTGATTTTTAGGAGCTCCTGCTTATCTAGTCTCTCTTCTGGTGCTTGTGCATTGTTACGTATCGTTCGTATTCTGTTTATGCCATGTATTAGGGCTCCTAGTGTTGTCCCTATTTTTTCTTCCATGATCTTTATCGTTTTTGATTTTATATTTAAGCCTTTGATCCATTTTGAGTTAGTTTTTGTGGTGTGAGGTATAGCCTGCCCCCATTCGTTTCTGAATTGCTGGCTTCTCAAGTACTCAGCCTGAGATATATGAGGCGAAAAGAAAACCCAGTGTCTTAAAAGCTTGAAAGTGACCATCTAAGATACAATTATTGGTCTCTACTCTTCTTTTTGCCATACTTATTCAATCTGTATGCTGAGCAAATAATCCAAGGGGCTGGTCCGTATGAAGAAGAAGGCAGCATCAGGATTGGAGGAAGACTCATTAACAACCTGCAGTATGCAGATGACACAACCTTCCTTGCTGAAAGTGAAGAGGACTTGAAGCACTTACTGATGAGGATCAAGGACTACACCCTTCAGTATGGATAACACCTCAACATAAAGAAAGCAAAAATGCTCACAACTGGACCAATAAGCGACATTATGATAAATGGAGAAAAGATTGAAGTTGTCAAGGATTTCATTTCACTTGGATCCACAATCAATGCCTATGGAATCAGCAGTCAAGAAATCAAACTATGACTTGCACTGGGCAAATCTGCTGAAAAAGACCTCTTTAAAGTGTTAAAAAGAAAGATGTCATTTTAAGGACTAAGGTGCTCTTGGACCAAGGCATGGTGTTTTCAATCACCTCATATGCATGTGAAAGCTGGCTGATGAATAAGGAAGACTAGAGAAGAACTGATGCCTTAGAATTGTGATGTTGGCAGAGAATATTAAATACACCATGGACTGCCAGAAGAATGAACAATCTGTCTTGAAAGAAGTACAACCAGAATGCTCCTTGGAAGCGAGGGTGGCGAGACTTTGTCTCACATACTTTGGACATATTACCAGGAGGGACCAGTTCCTGGAGAAGGACATCGTGCTTGGTAAAGTAGAGGGTCAGTGAAAGAGAGGAAGACCCTCAATGAGACGGACTGACACAGTGGCTGCAACAGTGGTCTCAAGCATAACAACGATTACGAGGATGGCGCACAGGACCGGGCAGTGTTTCATTTTGTTGTACATAGGGTCACTTTGAGTCAGAACTGACTCAATAGCACCTAACAACAATATCAACTCATCCAGAGCAAAAGAGAAAGAAGGAAACAAAAGACTCAAAGAAAAATCAGGGAGGGGCCTAGTGTCACTCAGAGACCCCTTTCGGTCAGTGAATTACTTAATATGGCCCTTCCAGCCATTCATGGTCCTATGACTCCCACAAAATGATTGGGTGGGACTATGCAAATAAGGTGTTTGTGGTCCAACAAGGAGATTGGACAGCCTGCTAATAATGTAAATAAGGTGCATGGAACCCTTGGGGGTGAGACTATGCATATAAGATATATGGGACCCTTGTAGAGGATTGGTCAATTTTGCCATCTTGTTAGGCTTAAAATGAGCCAGTCCCAGAAGTGGAGAAAGTGGACCTCACTACTATCAAGAAGGGCCAGGAGTGGAGCATGTCTTTTGGACCTGGGGTCCCTGTGATGAGAACCTCCCAGACCCAGAAGACAGAGAGCTGTAACACAAGATGTTATGAGATGGTGAGAAGTGGTGGCAGCAGAACCAGGAGACTGGTGCAAGGCAGAGCAAGGCAGCTACAGTGGGCATGCCAACCCACAGGGTGAGAGAGCTGAGCGCCTTTGGGCAGGAGGCTTTCTGGCAGAGTAAGGTGCCTCTGAGCACTTATTAGCAGAGCTAAAGGGCTTTGTAACACTTGTCTGAGCAGGGCAGAGACCAGGCCCAAGCAAGGGCCAAGGACTGAGAGGGGAGGCCTGTCCTCAGGGGGCCAAGAGGAGCCCTGCAAGGCCGAGAGGAGCTGAGAGAGCTGTCCTGCACTAGAGAAAGGGGACTTTGTCAACATGCTTTCTGATCCTGATCCCAAGTTGTAGCCTGTTACTTCCCTAATAAACCTCAGAACTGAGTGTGGTCTGTGAGTTCTGCATGGCCATTACGAGTTATCGAACCCAGCAGAGAAGCAGATTGCTGTGGGAGGGATGGCTGGTGTCAGAATTGGTAAAAAAGGTTCGAAGAGGAGGTATGTCTAACCTCTGCTTCGTAGGAATCAGCTTTGGGCTGATGTTGTCCTTGAATCTCCTCCCCCCCATGAAGTTAGATGAGGAGGTCAGACACCCTGCACCATTTGTATGCCCCTGCGTGACTTGAGTGGGCCCAAGGACTACCTCCCCAGCCATGGGCAGCATTGGGCAGATCCTGGGGGCCCTGCCCTGGCTGCACTGTGGCTCTGCCCCCCCAGGGGTACAGACAGGAAGGTCCTGCAGGGCCAATCTAAGCAGTCAGGCCTCCCCAGGAGTCCGAGGGAAGAGGGGCCAGGCTGGGGGGCCTCCAGCATTCAGGTGCCTAATAAAGCAGGACACAGTAACAGAGAAATCATTGAGAAGAATGTGATGGTCACTGATAATGTCTAAACCAAACACGTCAGCTGCCATGGAGTCAGTTCTGACTCGTGGAGTCCTTGGGTGGCACACTGTTAAGCGCTCGACTACTAACCGAAAAGTTGGTGGTTTGAACACACCCAGAGGCACCTCGGAAGAAAGGCCTGGTGATCTGCTTCCTAAAGTTTACTGCCATGAAAACTTTATGGAATGTAGTCTACTCTGCACACATGGGGTTGCCACAAAAATTTCTAGGCCCTCTAAAATGTCCCTAGAGTTTATCTCTGGGGTTACGATTATGGGTGATCTTTTTCTTTATATTTTCCAAATTTTGCGTGAGAAGTGAAAAAGTGATATATTTTATTGACAAAATAGATCAATACTCTAGTGTCAGGGATTGAATTGTGTCCCCCAAAATGTCTGTCAACTTAGCTAGGCCATGATTCCCAGTATTGTGTGATTGTCCACCATTTTGTCATCTGATATGACTTTCTTATGTGTTGTGAGTCCTATCTGTATGATATTAATGAGGCAGGATTAGAGGCAGTTACGTTAAGGAGGCAGGACTCAATCTATAAGATTTGGTTGTGTCTTTAGCCAATCTCTTTTGAGATATAAAACAAAGAAGTGAGCAGAGCGACAGGGGGACTCATACCATCAAGAAAGTAGTGCCAGGAGCAGAGTGCATCCTTTGGACCTGGGGTCCCGGCACTGAGAAGCTCCTAGACCAGGGGAAGACTGATGACAAGGACCCTCCCTCAGAACCGACAGAGAGAAAGCCTTCCCCGGAAGCTGGCACCCTGAATTCAGACTTGTAGCCTGCTAGACTGTGAGAGAATACATTTCTGTTTGTTAAAGCCACCCACGTGTGGTGTTTCTGTTATAGCAGCGCTCGATGACTAAGACACCTAGGATTAAGACAGCCATGTCCAACGAGGACCATCAGTGAAAATAGCTGACCTCTCAGGAGACCTGTGGACTGGACTAGGTGGGGCCTCCAGACTCTCCTTGGGGTCCAGAAGAGCAGCCCCTCCCACCAGCCAGTCCAGGACGCAGAAGCACAGCCACCCCAAAGCCAACCTTGAGTAAGCTCAGGAGGAGGCCTTCAGGAAACCCCCGCCAAACCTGGCAGAACCTACCCAACAGGCCAGCTTCTCTTACCCAGAAGAGGCTTGCCCCCCATTACTGCTCCCAACCTCCGTTCAGACACAAAGGAGACCTGCTGTTCCCAAAGCAGGGAATTCTTTACTGTAAACCTCAAATACAGGAGCAGGAATGACACACACAGGCGCTCAGACAGAGGCAGCTGTCTCTGAGAGTCTCACAATGCATACAGAACAAAAGTGGAAGACGCTTCCCTAAAATTGCTGTAAAACCTCCTCTTTATCGGAGGGGGTGGGGGATGGCCGCTAAGCGCTTCCCGGACATCAGGTGTTCCTGAACCCTCTGGGCAGAGATCCTAAGGGGTGCACCCTGCGCCAGCCCCTGGATGCAGAGCACAGAAGACAGGCACTTGCTAATGGATTTAGAGACCCGAGGCCACGCCATTCTCTCCCTGAAGAACTGAAGGGACCTGCAAGTTTCCCCGGGAGAAGGAACACTGTCAGCTGTCTGCGCTAACTTGTATGACTTTGGGCTGCTCTCCTCTGCTCTGAAGGTGCAAATGCTGGCACATTGGTTCCTTTCCAAAGTCTGGTTTCAAGGAGTAGGGAAAACAGACGCAGAGGTGACCCCATTCAGAAAGCATAAAGGAGAACAAGAGCAGCCCGTCTTTGTCCAGGGAGATGGTTTGGCCCCCTCGACAGCGGGCCTTTTTCACACAGCCATTCCTAGGAGCTGTACCCAGGAAAACGTGCGTGTACCGGGACCTGTGAGTGTGTGGGAAGGTGTGTACGTTTCTAGGCATCCGTGAGCCCGTGTGCTCCGGGGCAGGAGACGCTTTTGTGGCCACTGTTTGTAAACTGGCCCCAGCAAACAAATCCATAAGGCAACAAAGGTACAGAAAGCTGGTATGAAAGCTTGCTGTGGGTTGGCCAGGAAAGAAGGCTTCCTGCTCACAGCACCATGGAGACCCAGCCCCAGAATCCTTCCTCGATGGACATGCCAGGCAGAGCTGAGAGCCTGATTGCAGGAATCCCAGTAGGTCCCAGTGAAAAGCAGCCCCAGCTGCTCAGGCAGGACTCAAGGACTTGGGGCTGCTGAAGGGCGAACAGAGGCTGGGAGGTTCCATGAGGCAGATGAGAGGCGGGCCCAGGAGGGAAATCTCTGAGCTCTGGGCTAGTCTGCTTCCCCACCTGCCCCGTGGGTATTCCCACCACCAGGAGAAGAGTGGAGCCCTGGTGGTGCAGTGGTTAAGAGCTCAGCTGCTAACCAAAAGGTCAGCAGTTCGAATCCACCAGCTGCTCCTTAGAAACCCTATGGGACAGTTCTACTCTGTCCTATAGAGTCACTATGAGTCAGAATTGACTCGACAGGAGTGGGTTTGGGTTAGGAGAAGCGCGGAAAGCCAAGTGTGCATCAAGGCACTGAAGCATTAGCAGGCACCATTGTGGAAGCAGCTGCCCAGCACCGCTGTGGTCCCAGCACTGCCCAGCCAGAGGCCCAGGCAGCCAGCTCGCTCTCAGCAAAGCTGTCTCCCCAGGAGACCCAGAGCATTGTGCTTCACGATTTCCCACAGTGATTCAAACACAGATGCTGCCTGCCCACCTGCAGCCCACTTAGTTCTCAGGTGGGGAAACTGAGGCCAAAGACGTCTGCACAGGTCAGAGCTGGCTCCTCGGGGCCTCCTCTTGGTCCCAGCTGGCCCTGCTCTCCACTGTCCTGGTGGATCATCCTGCAGGAGGATGCGCTACTCAGCCACTGGCTCTGGGCAGGACACGAGACGTGCTATGAGATGGTGAGCGCAGCCGCTGAGGCTGCAGATGTGTCTGTGGGGTCGGCACGTCCAGGAATCTCGAGGCAAGTGGAGCAGAGATTCTCCTGCAGTCCCAGGAGGAGGCAAGGGCAGCGGTGCGCAGCAGACACACGCCTGCACCCCGAGGGTCCCGGGGCAGTGTTCAGGGCAGGGACAGGGCCTTGGCCAGGCGGATCCAAAACCAGGACTTGGTACAGGGATTGGTGTAGTCACAGACAGTGATGAACCGCAGGATGCTGGGGAACTCCTTCTTCATCGCCTTGTACTTGATGGGGATCAGCCGCTTCTGATGGGCACCTGCAAGGCACAAGGCACAGGGCTGGCACCAGGCCCTTGCCGCATGGCGGAGTGGGGCCTGTCCCCAGCACAGGGGTTGACGGAAGGCACCAAGCACATAAACGGGCACACGCGCCTGGGTGTGCAGAGACCCGCAGGCTTCCACGATGCTGCATCCATAGCCTCGGTGAGCAAAGGCTGGTATCCGGAGGCCCTGCCCATCAGGCCAAGAGAAGGACAGACGGTGTCCCCTCTGGTCAGGGCTGGGCTGAACTTACCTGGACAGAGGCTGAGTGCAAATTTGGTCTGGAAGTCACATTCCTTGCTCTGCAGGTAATCATCAGAGACGACCACCACCATTCGGCGACACCTGGGGGGAGTGGGCAGGTTATAGGCATGGTGACAACCTAACTGGGCATAGCCCCGTGTTCCGAGGGACAGCCCCGGGAGGCACCTCCAGTGCCCAGGCTAGAAGCCCGGCATGAGGATCCCTGGTCAGGGGGCTTCACGCACCCACCCGCTGGCCCCTGGCCCACCTCTTCTCGATGAGCTCGCTGGCAATGGACCAGACACAGGTGCCAGGCAGGACGTCGCGGTCAGACACGCACAGCTTCAGCCGATAGTTTGTCTGCTCCAGCTGCCGGATCATCTCCTGCACAAACTGGATGTCGCTGGGGCAGTAGCAGATGAAGGCGTCAAAGCGCTCGGGCACTTGTCCTGGCGACAGGGCACAAGGGTGATGGGCAGGTCTCTACGGGGAGGCTGGGGAGGAGCCCAGACTAGGCCACCCTGGTGCTGCCTCCTACAACCGCCCCAAGATGACATTACTCGGACGCAGTACCCGTCCTGGCAGATGAAAGCTGAAGCCATGCCCTACACCACCCCCAGCCA